CACATTCTAAACTTAAGGCCTGTTTCACATGCAGGGGGAGGGACTTGAAGTGCTCGCTCTACTTTTCTTTAATGCCCCCTTATACTGAACACATTTTAGAAGGTTTTCTGAAAAGGTGATGCTCAGGCTAAAGGCACGGAGGCTGAATGTGGTATATATACACAATGCTGTTTCATTTCATTATAAAGCAGGAAAACAGAACTAAAGTAATCACATTAAGACAAATGAGTTAGAGTTGGGAGAATAAATACTGAATGTTTTCTCTTGAAAATGGATCCTACATAGTGTGTGTGTGTGTGTGTGTGTGTGTGTGTGTGTGTGATTATATACCACATTACAAGAAAAGTAGAGGAGGATTAACAGATACAGGTAGGGTTAGAAGAAGGAAGAAGGTGGGAACTCTGAGTGTGAATATGACCAAAGTAAATGCTGTCCATGAATGCAAATGTCTTTCTGAAACCCACACTACCCCAATAAGGTAATTACTGAAAAAAAGAGTGGAGGCAGAGGTTGGGTACCTTGGCAGGAATATGGAACAACTGAGTAGTATTTGATGTACTGCATGCAAGAGATCCCGCTTTCTTGGTATTCTTAAAATGCGCAGGACAGCCGGGCGATGGTGGTGCACGCCTTTTAATCCCAGCACTCGGGAGGCAGAGGCTGGTGGATCTCTGTGAGTTCGAGACCAGCCTGATCTACAGAGCTAGTGCCAGGACAGGCTCCAAAGCCACAGAGAAACCCTGTCTCGAAAAAAAGAAATGTGCAGGACAGACTAGATGACACACAAAGCATTCATTCTTCCAACCATTTTCCCACACCCAACTCAAGCAGGTGTGAGCTGCTTAGTCTGCATCCGGGCTCCTACCTGAACACAAAGGCCTGTGTCCCAATTTGGTCCTTGCCAGACCTTAGCCCAAATCCTTAGTGTGTTCATTTGTAAATGGAGACCACTAATCCTGTTCGGTGTGGAGCTAGAGGAACTGGGTAAATGTTGTTTCTATGATTTATCCTAGATGTTCTAGAAGTGGGCACAGGACTTTTCCACACAGCATGCTGGCTGTGATCCCAGCTGGCATAGTAAGACAGCAACTGTGTGTTTCTTTTCTTGGAGAATTTCTTCTGGATTTTATACCCTAAGATCTTTGACTACTGTTTTCTGGTGACTATACTGTTGGGGTGTAATAGTTAAGCTCTCAGAGAGCAGCAAGAGAGCCTTAGCTTTCTGTAATCCCTGCAAGAACACTGCAAATTCTAGACCATTGGACCATCTCCATCTCTTCAAGCCATGGCAAAGAAGGCTGCCTGTTTAGACAGGATGAAGTAGCCTTAGTTGGAAGCTCTGGGGATGAGAGCAATAAAAGGCGTACCTGCTTTGCATTTTGGCAGCCTTTGGTGTAAAGCATTAGAGAAATGTGAGGCATGGAAACAAAGTATGAATAAGACAAGATCTTTGCAAGCACTTAAACCAAACCAAACCGAACCATTTCTAAGGTTCTCAGAATAAAGATAACCTGATTCTCTTTCTTCCTTTCAATTTTTGCTCACTTACAGGAACTTCTTGATTCCAGCTGGGTCAGGAAGGTGCATACCCCAAATATCCAAGGAATGTCTCTTATTATAGGAGATTGGGCCCCGGCCCCATTTGCAAGACCGGGAAGCTTTGATATGTCTGATAACATTTGGATACAAGACTCAGCATTCAAGGGAAGTTTTATTATAACCAAATTTGGGAAACTTGCTTAAGGAGAATGGGGAAGAGGGACTGGAAATCATTAGAAGTGGCAGGGTTATGCAAAAGCAAAGCTCAAGTTTAGATTGGTATTCTAACCTCACAGAACGCAGAGTGTTCCTCATTCTCACTAGTCACAAGCATGGGCAGAGTCGCTCTGATGCAACTATGATCTGGAGACAGTTCTCACACCTATGTCTTTAACACAGCACAGAGGTTAGAGATGGGGTCTTAAACTTTACATAGACCCAGAAAATACCTGAGCTTTTATAACACCACAGAAAAACTTGCAGAAAGTGACATAAAGTGAATTGTAAAGGGGAAGAAGGAATAGCTATTCTTTTCATAATCCCTAAGGTCAAGCTTGCCCTGGAAGATTGCAGACTGTAAATGAGGGAGTATGTATGGCAGGGAGTGGGAACAGCCTCCATTACAAGGGACTATGATCCTGCTCCAAGAATATTTGAGCCCCTGACACATGTCATCTAGAGCTTTACCTGTTTTCCTGGAATCCAGCAACTCCCCACTTTGGGTATGGGATCTAGGCTTCCACTGTCATTTTCTAAAGCATTCCTTTATGATTAGAATCTTTGCATACAGGTTATGTACTGATGAGAAAACCACTGCATGTCCTGCAGGGCTCCAAGGTAGACAACAGATTGTTTACCATGAAAAAGGTGAGGTAGTTAGCTATGTGTGTATGTTTAGCATGATGGGTGGAGAAATTTAGCTACTACTGACTCCTTTACCTCTGTTTTATTGTATTTTATTTGGTCAGTGTCTGAACTAAGATCCTATGGGCTGAATCATACTTACATATGTGGGTGGGGTATAAGGGATACGGATGAGGAGGGGTTGGAAGAATAGATAATGAGGAAGGAGGGGAAAATGAAAAGGAGAAGGAGGGGAAGAAAGCAAAGGGAGAAGATCATGCTTAAGGAAGGAGAGGGATCCAAGGAACACCTTTCTATCTGATTCTTCAATCCAACTCTCAAGAGCCTCCCAGCTCCACCTCATGCCATCAAAGTCTTCACTAGAGACCCTGACAGGGTGAAAATGAACTACTAGGTTCCTCTAATCTAATCACTGACCAAGATAATGAGTGGCATAGCCATGTTTTCTCCTTGCCTGTTGCCATAAGGGAACAATATCTTCAGAACTAGGGCTTGCCTATATGCTGCCTGTATGAGTGCATGTCTATTTGTGTGCACATGACTGTACCTGTGTGCATGGGCAGATGTGTACATGTGGGGTAGGGATATATGTTTTTATGTAAGGAAGCTGGAGCACTATTGTTCTGTACCCTCCAAGCCTTCGTTTTCGTTTTCCTGATGCTGCGTCTAGGCTACACACTGACCCTGTATACTCCAGCGAGGCGACCTCATTATGGCAAATTTCATTACAGTTGAAGTGTCCTTGTAACAAAGAGTATATCCAAACTCAGAGTAATGGAACCTAGTCAATTTCATTAAAATAAAATTGGTAACAATGAATAATTCAATAGGATGATTTTGTTTCCTCCTCTTCTCTTTATAGATGGAGGAGTTAGTATTTATAATGATTTTTTAATTGGATTCTTGTTTAGTTAGAACTAATCAGCCGTAATTCTTGACAGCCTTCTCTCTACAAGATTGGATTAATTGTCCCATGAAAGTCCTTTTTTTTCCAAATGAGATGGGGAATTTTTTCCTTTAGCTCACATGACGAGCAATAATCTTTGGATGGTTTTTAAGCACAGTTGCTCCCATTGCTCCTGTGTTTGAAAGGTTCTTAGAGTACTAATAATTCCCTCATTTGAATGACATTTTTCAACACCTCTAAGAATAGGATGCTACCTGAATTTGGAATTCCTGCATCTTTGATGTGATGGAGAAACAATGACTGGACATTTTCTCTTGGCCTCACTTGTAAGTAGGTGGGCGGGGGGAGGGGTGTGCGCATGCACGTGAGCATTTACAATAAAAGCAAAACTCAGACCATGCTGGCGCCTAGCGTTATCTACATGCTGGCCTTTGAAGATGGGGATAGATGAATAGAGCCTAGTCTATTCTCAGAGCTGTTGGCAGTCCACTGTGGGAGACAAGAGAGGACACAGATAAGTCACTTGAAGTTCTCTGTGAAGGACCACGCAGGTGAGACCAAGTGCTAAGTCATAAAAGTAGAAGGGGATTGCTGACCCATTCCTTGCTAGGCTAGCACTGCACATGGATGACACCAGGGGATGCTGAGTACCCACATTTTCCCACTCTCCTGAGGGCATCTACTCACACATACAAGTGAGCAAGTAAAAAAATTCAAGAATAGGAACAGGAGTAGGAGAGATGTGGAGATGATGAGATAACGGTGAAAATGAATAAGTGCTTCTTTACACCACACTCAATAATTCTCATCAGACCCCAACCCAAGGCCCCAGTTCTCATTCATCTACATTTCAGTTGAACCTTAGTGAACTTGAATAAAGAAGCCATATTAGAGAGGGATGACCGAGAAACATGGCTCATCTGCAAGTTCAAGAAACGCATTAGCTTCAGAAATGACCACTGTGCTGGCAAGGCAGAAGTACTGACTTGTGTCTCTGAGAAATGGGAGTCTCTAAAGAAGTCTGGAAAATTACAAAGGATGCTCTAGGGAAGCACAGCCATCCCTAGGACCACATAAATTCTGGCAGCCCCAAAACTCTCCACCGCTCATCTAGGCTATCAGTCCCCTTTGTATGTAATGCCATACAAATAGTGTATTAGGGGACTGGGGAATGAGTCCCAGCTTCATAGAACAATGTCCCTGGGGTGCAACAAGCTAAATGCCTATTTTAAATATAAGGGGAAAGTGGAACCCAGAAAACTGGAGAGACTATAAATGAAATCTAGATATGGTTGCTCTTCATTCAGTAAACAGACAAATTGAGAGTTCTTGTTTAAAAAAAAAAAGACTAAAGATTCTAGAGATTTCATAAATAGTTCTCACCCCCTTTGAATTCCAATGGTATATTCAAAACAGAGTTCTTTCCTGTATCTGAGTCATAATATAAAGAACATGGGGCACAGCTCTTGTTCCCACGATGCTTGCATCCCCTCCTTCACTGCTGTGTGCTGTATCCTTAACCAGTGGTACTGAGCAGCTGCAGGTATCACACTTGGCTAAAGAAATACTCAGGTGGACATGTCCTGTGACACTGTGTTTGAAGTGAGCACCTTGAGAGCCACAGCAAAGAAAAAGGGAGTCTTCAGCAGGAGCCCCAACCCTCCCCCCCGCCGCCAAATTAGGGGCTTACCTGCGATGCTGCTGGTTGCCCGATAACAACCCAGCCTGGGCACTGCTGGTCTTGATGGGATACTGAAGCATTGGACGCCCACTGGTCCAGGAACCCCTGGGGTGTGTAGACACCGCAGTCTTTAATGCTAGTTTTTTGTTCAAACTCTTCACACATCCCATCCCCATCATGGAAATAGCACCGGCTGGGTTCATCTGTGGGAGATTGATATGGAAAGGGGGACAGTAATAAACATTTCTCCTTTGGCTTTAGCAATCAGTAGCAGCTGTAGAACAGAGCATCCAAACTAGAAACTGTTGAACCTATAGTTTTTAGTCACATTAGGATAGTCTTCTTTAGCCTTAAAGTGGAAAAGAATTAAAGGAAGTCCTGTTATACCCAACAGCTTATTCAGTGGTTCTTATCCGGTGGATCAAGACCCCTTTGGGGTCTCATATGAGAAATCCTGCATATCAGATATATACATTACAATTCATATCAATAACAAAATTAGTTATGAAGTAGCAATGAAAATCATTCTATGGTTGGGGGTCACCACAGTATGAAGAACTCTTTTAAAAGGTTGCAGTGTAAGGAAGGTTGAGAATCACTGGACAAATGAAACTGGCAGAGTTTGTGCTGAGTAAATGAACACATTCATGACTCCATTTTCAGAAGGAGTGAAAACTGTAGAAACCCAGAGCAGAAAATGCAATGGGGATCTAGAGGGACGGTAATGGAAACTGTGCATGGACCAAGAGTAAATTATCAACAATGAAAACGCTCTCGAAATTTGGTACACAGGTTGGCGCTTATGGTTGATACAACTGATTGCACACCTGTAACACTTTGAGAGTAAAGAGCATGTTATTATGTCTGAACAATAGGCACACAGAAATTTACCATTCTAGGTTCTGGAAAGAACCTGGGATCATGAGTGTGGGGAAAGGACTTAAATTTTTCTCTTGTTATCTGTAAAGGGAGTCATTCCATTTAGGGACAGCAGAAACTTGAGTCTCTTCCAAGCCCTCCCCCAAATTTCTTGTTCATTTCTGCAAACAGTTTACATAGTAAAATATTATCCCACATGCCAGAATAAGTCTATTCATTATAATTTAGTTATTGGATGATGGGTATGAGCCCACTGAAAAAAGTCCAGTGACCAGCATGTTAGGTATGTCTAACATGGACAGAAATACAAGGTCAGTACTTCCCACAGCTTCACAGTGATCATGGACAATGGTCAATTCAGATACAATGAAAGTTAAGATCCAACACAAGGGAAATTCACCATAAATCCAATCCCAATGAAGGGGGCTGCAGCAAATTATATTGTCCAACTCTAGGCCAAAGAGACAATTTCTATAAAGATGAGAAGTATGAACATTGCTCTTTGTGCCTAGCAGAGAGATAATGACTATACTCAGTATTCATAGAATGAAAAAAATGACCTTTTAAGGATAAGATTATGAAGTTGGCTAACTTGCGTACCACATTTGTCTTCCTTCAATGTAAAGACAGAGAGGGAGAAATTATAATAAGATTGAATAATATCTACTTTTGACTTAATTCATTCCCCAAGGCAAATAACCCTTTCAGTACAGAAAAAAAAAATTGTCCTAAAGGCTTATGTCTTTATTATTAGATTTAAGATTATGATAAAACTGGTTAGAACTAGAATCAGAGAATGGAGGGAGGTACAGACAGACAGTCAGGAAAAGAGTTACCCAGCTATAGCAAGGTGGGTTATAGACAGGTAGTCAAAAGATAGAGAAGAACTAGTTTTAGAGAGACAAAGATTCAGACTGTTGAAATGGTCTAGTGGGGAAAGACACAACATCAAGCCTGATGATCTAAATTCAACCCTCCCAGGTGGTGAAAGGCGAGAACTGACACCTCCAAAGTGCACCTAACTTTCATACACTCACCCAGAAACCCTTTCTATCCCATTAAGTAAATACATAGATTTTAAAAGGTTTAAAGAGAAAGGAAGTCGGATGGAAAGGGAGAGCAAAAATGAATGACTAAAGGAGAGGAAGGGAGAGCTGGAAGGAGGGAGGTGAGGAGAAGGAAAGAGAAAACGACCACATCTCATTTCTTCTCCAACATTATGCTGACAAAGCTATTGTGAGTCTCTTTTAAAAATAACATCCGTAGAGTCTGCCATTCTGTTTCTCTTGCTCCTAGTGTCCTAGGGGAGCCTCTCTACTCCATCCGCCAGGGTTTTGTCTGGGGAATTCTCATTCCTTCCCCATGCTCTCTGCCTCAAGAAGTAAAAAGAACAGGGTAAGGAACTGAATACAAATGCATGGCCAGGAGAAACAAAGACAGCAGCAACAGAAATAAAACAAACTGAGCTTCTTGTTTCCGTTGCATCAATTTCCTTAGTGTCCCTTGAAAGCTTTATGTTGAACAGGGAGCCGGTTATTGTACAAAATTTAAAGTCTACAGCACGGGCAAATGATCACCTTGCTATCTCACCTTCTGTGTAGCAGCCAGGTGACATTTAAAATAGCATATATCCCACTGGAAGGGGGAAGAGATATTGTAAATGTTGAGAGGAGAGAGGGAGGGAGAGAGAGAGAGAGAGAGAGAGAGAGAGACAGAGACAGAGACAGAGACAGAGACAGAGACAGAGAGACAGAGAGAGACAGAGAGAGACAGAGAGACAGAGGAGAGAGCTAGAAACCGCAGCAGACTTTCAACAAGTATTTGTGGAATGAATACATGGCTAAACTAGAGAATCCCTGACATGCACATTCCTACTGAGACTTTGGAAGTTTTCTTTAGACTTTACCTTAGGAAGAAGGATCGAGAACTGAGACACAAGTAGGGACTGGTTTGCAGTGGACCTTACACTAAGCAGTCTGTTTTCAACATCTAACCCCATCTTCTCCTGCCAAAGAGGAACTGAGCATTTTGGATTCATCACTATACGTGATGACAGATTTAGAAATCTGTCTGCCCATCAAGAACACTTGATGAAATGGACAAGGCCAACCTTCCCAAACTGAGTTTTTACAAGGTGAAACGTTCTCCTTGTTGGGAGGAAGTAATCTTAGTTTCAAGACTGCGAGGCACATGGACAGGCAATTCATCAGCCTTATAGAGTCTTACTGTTCAGTTTTTAATCTGTATTGAATGTCAAAATAAAATACTTTGTCCCTGAATCCCTAAAGCATATGATAAAGACCTTGTTGAGGTAGGCAGGCATTGTTTCACCCACTAAAGCTTTGAAGGCAAAGTCTGGAGACATGAGCCAATTTTCACTAAAATATAGACCAACGCTAGGGTGGAGCTACTGTGGAAAGTTCCTAGGCGTGAAGTGGCACTCCGGGTTTGAGCTACCTAATGATCTGATTCTGCTTATTTGTTAATGTTATACATGATATTTTGCTTTCTATTTCTCATGCTAACTTTTGGGAACTCAAGGGTCTGGACCAGACATTCCTAAGTGATAGGATCATGAAAAACTAAAAGTTGTCAATGTAGAAAGGGGAGTGGTATGAGGAAGGCTGATAATGCTATGGGAGCTGAGAGGAAAAAGGGGCATCCCAATGTGCTTCTTAAAAGATCTTTCTCTATTTTTATTTAGGCATATACACCTGCATGACTTTATTTGCACCGCCCGCCTGCAGGAGGCCAGGGGCAATGAATCCTGTGCCACCAGACTCCTAAGTGCTTGTGAGCCATCTAACATTGGTTTTGGAAACCCCAGGCCTCAGTAAGAGCAGTCAGAGCTCTTAGATCTTACATGAGAAGCCATCTCTCTAGGCTAACAATGCATGGACTTAGAGATATACAAACATGAAACTTCCAGAAACAAATTTAAATTAAGTTTTCAAATACACAAAATTAGTATGGTCGAAGCCATTTTCTGAAGCTTCTTGGGAAAATATTGTGTAGGGAAAGAGTTAAAAATCCTCTTTGGGCTTCTAATAATTGTGATTCCTTTCCTAGTGAGTCTGGCCCCACTAGAGTATTAAATTATGGGAACAAAATTGAATGTCACCTTTGACCAGTTTCAATATTACTTATGGGGCATCTTTAGATCTTCTCACAGTTTCCATTGGTATGGACAAAGGAGTCTGAGAAGCTCTTGGAGTTACCAAGTTTCTACCCCAGAAAAGAAAAGGTACAAACTGCCTATGGAGTGGTGGAGAATTTTGGTCCTAGGTGATAGACTTGATTTAGGATACAATGAAGAAACAAATCATTTCAATGTGTGCTTCTCAGCACTAGACTACCTTCCAAAGGAAGGGTGGGATCTCTGAGCATGTCTTTAAAAAGTCAGGTCAGCTTTTGAGACCTCATTGTGTATGTCTCTCTCCAGCAGATGGAAGAATGGCTGGGATTTCAGAGATTTTGTTCAGTACAATAGTTACTACTTTTTTCTATTTCTTTGAAAACAAGAAAAAATAGTATTTTTAAGCTGTGCTGTTTATTTAAGAATGAATCTAAGCACAACAAACTTGGTGTCACATAATAATTCATCCAGGCAAACACAACAGCAAAAAAGATGCCAAAGTGTGTAATCTTTGGATTCAAATAATAATGTCTTGGAACAGGGCAATTAGTAGTGGATTAAGACCCAGTAGTTTAAATGATGGAAGGTTGAGGGCTTGCTTGGGGAGGATGTGTTGAGCTGTTTCATCTGGAACAGAAATATATCTTAACCTGATGCTTCCTTTCTTTTAAAAATTCACATCAAGGCCATATCACTGCCCTCATTTAGTTTTCTTCAGACCAAGACTTTGTTTATAGCTTCTTCAACTGGATCAGCTTGCCCGGAATACAATAGACAGGGTGCTGAGGGCTGCTACAGGGCCCTCCACCTGCCAAGCAGCTTCACGTGTGGAATCTGAGGAGCTCATGTTGGCGTCTGCCTTCTTCAAGGACTGATCACACGCCAGCATGAACCTGAAATCCCTTTCCCTGCCCTACAGTGACAGCTGGGCGTCCTCTAGCAACCTGAACAAAATAGAAACGGAAGGAACCCTCCGTGCACTGCCTATGTCTCCTTCGATTTGGCCCTCACAGTAATCTCACACTGGACTTTAGGTCACTTCCACCTCCAGCTCCCTCTCAGTCGGTGTGACTCTAAAGGGCGAATTTCACCGTGTTTGCAATATTTAATTGATGCCGACAGTGTTTCAAAATCTTCATGTAGCTTTCAACCCCTTTCCTAGTCCAGCCCCAAATCCTTGTTTAACCT